TAAATGAAAATAACTAATATTAAATAATAAAACGCTAAGTGGAGAAAAGTATTGACGTTAAAAAGTCAATGGTAGTTTCACGACAAAACTAACCTCTTTGCTATGACTTGAGTAAGTTCTTCTTTCTTGGCGCCATTAACATTGTTGCCGGTCTTGGAAATTGGTAACGACCATTCGATCGAACCCATGCCTCCATCATCTCGTGCAGGGATTCTTTTAGACCTTAAAATTATGTACATTTAAAAAGATAAATTCACATCGGTTAAGTAACGTATTAAATATAACGTTTAACATGTTATGATAAAAAAATTGTATTTCTGTGTACTAAAATTATTGTTTGAAGTATTATTTAGTGAGATTAATTGAAAAATATTCGATTACAATTTAGGAACAACATGATTTTGTATGAGTCGTTTCATGTTTTTAGGAATACAATTTTAAATATCAGTAGAAATGACCGATTTTTTTTATCACAATGAAATGGCCTACAGTTACAGTTAATATATATAGAAAAATAATTAAGTGAATGAAAATAACTACTATTAAATAATATAACAATAAGTGGAGAAAAGTTTTAGCTATGTATTAAATATAATATTTAACATTTTGTGATAAAAAAATGAAATGAATATTATTGGATGAAAAAAATCAATTACTACTCAATTACCATGAAATGGTATGTGTGTGTAGTGTATTTTATTTGTATTTTATATGTAATTCGTAAAATTTTGTATGCCTTGAATATTAATAATATTAATAAATATTAATAAATGTTCTTGACTCAAGCTTTTACACAATGCTCGGCATTGACGAGTATTAAATAGTGACATAGTTATAAGTGGGTATGCTTAGTTGCTAAAAACATACCTCCTGCCACTGTCTGCAATAATTGCCCGAGTAGTATCTGCGTCGACATTTGTTTTGTTGAATATCACCAACGAGGACCCACCTATAAATTACATACATACGTTGTAAGACTTATTTATATATGTATAAATAATAATGTTCTAGTAACAGTATGTCAGTAGTGACATTTCGTCTAGTAGTTGTTGATTTTGTGCAATTTTATCAAGTTGTAATACACTTTGTAAGGTTACATAGAAAAAATGATATTCGCGAACACTTTGTACTTTTTTAGTATGTACTATGCCATATACAAATTTAAAAATGAAATGTAGTTCTGTCAAATATGTTCAAGTAATTTCGTATATCATGTGTTTGTTTTATTTGTTATTCTTTAAATGGTATACTCAAATCTATTTTAAAAAGTTATCGATTTCATTTCGTGGTTTGGTTCTTAGTGTATTATTTATGTATTGATTTCGGACGTCCTGACACCATCAACGACTAAATTCAATAACTACAACGCCGAAAACTGACAAGACTGGGTATATCCCGTCGAACCCAAGAGACCCATTGACGCCTTGTAAAATAAAAATCGTTAAATGTATTGTATATAAAGTATTGATATCAATAAACGATTTTAAATATTAATACTAAAGTATTTATTTAAGTAATAAGAAGTAGTACCACCGGTGTCGTTTTTAAGAACTAAAAAAAAAAGTATGTACATGTAGATTATATTGTATTATAATATTTATATTGTTAAATGTCACCAAACTCATATCGATTGAAATCATGATTCCGATCTAACATTTTGAGCAATTATATTTTATCTTATCTAGTCAAATATATTTCCTTGTATATTTTTATGGAACCGAGTATAAAGTATCCGAGATCAATTGTAGCCGATTTATCTCCGTACAAAGTGTTAGCTATCGATTTTCAACAATTTATATTTAGTATACTTACAAATTTTAAGCAGTATGCAAGTCAAATATTACCCAGTCAGTATTCAAAGTGATCCGTTTACCATCTTATATTCTTATCGGTATTCTATTTGCTGTCACACTCAAGTAGCAATAGTGTTTAAATTGACGTGTGAATACGTAATTTATGTATTTAAATATATATAATGTTAAGATATAATAAGTGAAATTTAAAAAATTTGAATCAATCACTTTTCGTTTGAACATAAATTAGAGTTTAAAAAGAAAAAAATCTACAGAGCGTTTAAGTGTAAAAACCATGGATGGAAAAATTATTTGAACATTTTAGTTATCTGCAGTGTGACAGAAGTCCCTATGTTATATAAGTACTTTACATGATATATGAGTTGTTAAATTATTCTGAAAATGTTTTTAAAAAAATAGTGTATTTGTCATTACCTACAATATTCTAGGGGGGGGGGGGAGAGCGTATATATGATATTTTTGTTATAAATTGTTGCACACCGTTTAGCATCTAAAATTCTAAACACGCTGCAATTACAACTATAGTATAATATACATTATACTATTGAGTTGTGCCTGTGTGTCTGTGTGTGACACATACCGCTGAGCCGCATAGTCCGCGCATCATTATTTATTATTATTACGTGTTACGATTTATAACATTTAAATTATTTTCATGTTATACGTATTAATTATGGACGATCGTCATTTTATTATTGTGCGAGCGTAACGATTCAACATTAAGTGATTCGTTACGAAGTGGCATCGCGAACAATTACTATATTAGTCAATTGCCGGACTGCACATATTTCACGCTATAGTTTGCACGTATGTTACAGTGTATGAGTGTGCTATATCGCGCGTTTAGGTGCCAATATTAGGTATCTGTGCAGGTGTTGTATATTATTATTATTATTATTATTATTATTATTATTATTTTGGTTGCCGTGTGACGCTGGTCAACAGGAGATGAGTGGCGTATCAACTTCACACGCGATGATGAGCAGCTCTATCAACCTCAATATGCGATCGGGCATCGTTGCCATCATTATAAACATTTTATATATTATGTAAGCTTTTTGATATAGGATCAATCCGTTGTTGTTATTATTATTATTCTGAATTTTCATGAATTATTATTGTTATTTATTATATGTATTTATTTAAATGTTTCTGAGACCGGTCCGATACGGAATTTATTATAAGGCGTAATCGGTGTGACCGTATCTATTTATTGTATTTCGCAAATTATATCATATAAAATTATATATATTCTTGTGTTGTTCATGTGAAACGTCATAATTATTATAGGCCATCTAACCATAGGGATCTGGTAAGCATATTGGTAAATGATATATCAGCTATACAGAAATCTGATATCATTACCAAACAGCTACCATTAGAATAATATGTATGTTATTTAGTGCCAAATAAATTGGCTACGCGTTGATATTACCATTTTTATTAAATAAAATATAGTAGTTATGACAATATTCGTATTAATTTTTTTTTCATAATCGAATAATATCTTTTTAATTTAATATGTCACATTACTTCCCAGCTAATAAACGTGTTATAAACTAAAATTTCTTAAGAATCTAAAAAGGCATATTTTATTTCCAAAACTGTCACAATATGAGATGTACCTATTTATCATATAAACCATTAAGCATTATGATTTATGAGCATTATATTAAAGTAAATGTAATCGATAACGGAATATAATCAAAACCGGAATTCTACTTAAAAGATAAATCTATAAACATTAGTATATAATTTATTTGATCAGTATATTATATTATATTAGCCTATCTGAGATTTTATTAATTATTAACTGAAATCAAAAATTGAAACGTTTTAATTAATCTTGTATTCCAAATGCATTATATTATGAAACAGAAACTGTTATGGAAAGACCAAATAATGAAGCTCAGTTGATAATAATATAATTGAACAGTCGTGTCCGTAAATTTTTGTACTCTGTTTTTATTTCGTTTTGTTCGTTTCAATCAACTAACCAAGTATTTCTTTTCGGATCGAAAACTTTAAAATGTATTCGAATATATTTTATAAGAGTATAGTCTACTGCTATTTCACATTTTTTACTAGGTGGGTATATTATTATAAAAGTAGAAATTTAGAAGAAAACGGTTTTTAATCTTTCTCGGAGGAAAGAAATTGATTTACTTATTGAGCGTCCTAGAATAATTAATTAAAACTATTATTAGGTACCACTAATATAATAGAATTAATAAAGCATTCAATTATTCATAATATATTAAACAAAACAATATTTTTGTAAACTATTACAAATAATTATTGGATTCTTAAAGTAGGTATAATTTTGTATTGTAACCATTGTTAAAGTTTATAAAAATATGTGTAACATTTAACAAAATACATTGTAATAGGTCATAATTTTAAAAATAAATAAATTAAAATCAAAAAGATTATAGTTCATAAATTAGTGCAAAGTAATATTTGAAGTAAAAATAATACTTTTTAAAAACCCAACAAATATAATATCATATTTGAAAAAAATACTTTTGCTTAAATAAAAACTGTTACCTAAATAAATTAGATGAATAATATGTAAAATAAATTAAATTAAAAATATAACCAAATGAGAATAATATTATGTTTAATATTTGTACTTACTTCCTAGCAACTCCTTGTCGAGTTGCGAGTTGGCTACATTCCCGAGAACAGCGATGATTATGATGCTCGATATCATCACTACTATTAAAGACTTCATGGCTTTTTGAAAACGCAAGGCAATCGAAAAATGAAATGTAGTTCAAACGAATGATTACTTTAAATTAATCAAAATATTTGAATTTACGAGATAAATTTGATTGCAAGACGAATAAGCGGAACCGGGAAGTCAGAAAACGGAACGTACACTAAAAATGAAACACCCTTCGCGAGCTCTTTTATAGGCTGCCACGGCCCACGGTGGTGAGGGGGCTGGCGACGGTGGTGGCATTGGTGTGCGTTGTCCACCACCACGGTGATTCGGCAGCACTATATAAGTGAAGCTACAGGATGCAATAATCGACACCTTTACCGACCAAACAGTTTAATACTATGTTGTGTTTATGAGGGTATTTACTATCTGTTTAAAACAGGAACAAAAATATTAAAAATTAAGAAACATTACGAAAGTATATTTATTGAAAAATATTATAAATAATTCAATAATACATGAACGATTTGATGATTAAAACCATATTTATTAAAGTACCTACGTCTTACATACAGTAGGTACACAATTCGTTATTAAATGTGTGTAAAATATGTTTCAGGCGTTTAAGACGTTTAAGTGTAGTGCAGTCGTATTCATGGTAGTTGGAATATTTACGATCATAACTCAAACCCATATGTGAATTTCGAATTTTACCTTGCAAATAATCATTTGAGGGAATTTTTTACGATTATATGCAGATCGAATGTGATACCAGTAGGGTATGATATTTGAATTATACTACAACGGATACAACACGAGTGTTTGTAGTCCATTAAAAGTAAAAAAATTCAAAATGTTTTTTTTTTAAAAGCAAAGCATTTAATTTATTCTATATACCATTTTATAAAACGAATTTTTTTTTTATGAGTTCTAGATAATTTAAACACAACCAGCCTTGTTCTGCGCATTCAAGTCTTCCGCCGACAACAATCGCGGATGCTCGTGATGCCAAATTCCTCTTAATAATTTTATTATAATATGTACCTAATTTTCCTATGATCGTAATATTATGGTTTGTATTATTATTCTGATAAAATATTTATTGAAAATGAAAAAAATTCAACCATGCTTACAAGGCAGAAAATCTTCTTGGAGTCCATAAATGTACTGAATAACGTATCTATTTAACACTGTACAAAATATGTTGGAAATCAAAATATTTTAATATTTAACAATGTAAAAAACTCTACGCTTGAACATAGTACCCTTTTTTTAATATAACATATTATTAATTGACTACATTACCCATATTCGTGTTTTGATTAATCGTATATATTGTTCTAATGATATCTAGAAAAAGATCTAAACTTGTTGAATAGTTTTAGTTGTTTGTATTCGAATAAGTTTGAAGATTTAAGACGTGTAGCGTACTCTCAATTTCGGTGTATTATTATAAATCACAAAATTAAATTAAATCGCGAAAAATAAAATAAATTAATGTATTCAAATAATCGTATTATATTACAGAATCCATATTATATTAAAATGTATACTAAGAACTAGTTAATTTTAAATTTTTATTCGTAGGAAAATAGGAAATGGATTATAGCATTTATAGGTACCAACAACTTATATTTAAAATACATATATAATGTTTGGGCTGGGGAACTGTCTCCAGCATCCGTTTCATTGATATCCAGAAATTCAATCTCACTTTGAATCGTGTCAAATTTTCGATTTATGAGAAAAAGTTTTTCTTGCCTAAAATCTTATAAAAATTTGGCTGATCATCTTTGTTAACATTGTTGGTAAATGTAGCAATGCGCTTTAATGCAGCCGCTGCGTTTTCTTTTGAGATCCGTAAGAACCTTTTGGTCGGACTAGTCTAAAACCACATGATGACGCGTAAGAAGCCTCAGAAAGCAGCTCAAGACAGATACAGATATATCTGCATTAACTAAATAGTAACCAGATTTGAAATGTGTATAAATTATATACGGATGAGGTTATATACTGTCTAAGAAGTACCGTCGTTACATTTATATGCCACAGATATAATAGCAATTTTAATACATAACCATAAAAATGATGCGATTATAACTAATGATTTATTATTTCAATGAAATTAACAACCGTTCATGTACACTAAGGAAAAATATTATTGCATGTTGCTTTATAATTTTATGTAGGTACATGGAAATGTCAAAGTACAAACAAATTCGGAGCAAATCTAAACAATATTAATAATAATATTTTAAGTTGATGTCAACTATCAAGTAATAAATATAAATGAAATGCCTATCATATTAGGGCCGGAGTCAAACAATAATGGTAGTGACACCCGATCACCAAAATACTTTGCGCGTTGCTTCGTACCACCACTCACCGGCCTAACACAATGTGCATGTATATATTTAAACTTAACATATATATACTTTAGCATGTGTGTGTGTGTGTGTGTGTGTGTGTGTGTGTGTGTGTGTGTGTGTATACGTTCGCTGATACTAATGAACCGGACATGACATAATATTTTAATCGCACCCGATCGGATTATTAATAATNTGTGTGTGTGTGTGTGTGTGTGTGTGTGTGTGTGTGTGTGTGTGTTTATTAATTAACTAATACTAAAAAATGGTAACACGGTTTCTGGTAAAAAATAAGTTACCTACCGTATAATACACGATAATTAATAATGGTACAAAAAATATTATCAATTCACAGCAACACAAAGGTATAATAATCAATCACAGCCTTATGGCTGAACAGGATAAATACGTAATATTATGGCCTTTATGGGCCAACAGAATATAATTATAATATAATATGGCTCTTCTGGCCCAACATTTTAAAAATTATAATATTACAAGTGATCGATTATCAATTGCCTATTTGCGCAATGATAAAATTATAATTTATAATAAATAGATAATAATACACTGTGCTTATGGTATGTGTGTGTGTGGGTGCGTGCGAGCTTATAGGACGGTGAGATGGAGGAGTCTTACGACTCACTACTATTGTTGCTCTTCGGTCGTCAACATTATATAACATGAAAGTTTTTTTATAATAATATAATTTTATTGTATATTTGTATTATATTATGTCAAACCATTATCATCGTACAGATAATACAAATAACGATAGTGATTTGGTGCAATATTTTGAGATTTTTTTCGACGACAACGACTACGTTAAACATTGCGATTTTTTTTATACCGATATTAAACATACAGTCAGGTTTAGTGGTGAAAATATTGTTCTCCCTGTATTCGACGAACAGAACAAACCATTATTATTACATATATCTACAACCCACATCCATGTCTATAATACTATCTGTCTACCTACATGGGCAAGCAGACTCGTTAATGCGAGGTGACTAGGCGGCGGCGATCCAGTGCTAGCTGTAAAAATAAAATGTAGCTTGTTGAATTGTTTCTATATAGGCACACACAATATATAGTCTGTCTAGGAGAGGTTATAATATATGAACATAATAGAATGTACATTTTTGCCGACCCGACTTGCTGTCGTTTATACCTGCAGCTGTGCAATCATTTGTCATGATTAAAATTGACATTTTAAGATCGGCACATCCCACACGACTTACATCCATTGTTTGCTTATCCCATTGAAAACGGTTTTACGAAGAGGTCAATTCCCATGCGGCTCTCGTCGAAAAAGGGATTATAAACGGGTAAATTCTCGAACAATAATATCGGTTAGGTTGGGTTAATAACCGATCACCGAATACCATCGGTATGGGCCCACACGAATTGCGTACCAAATCAGTTCAAATTTTTTTGAACGAATAGTGTTTCGGACGCAATATTCATGTTACATTTTTAACAGATTTTAACAGTCAATTTTATACTTGCCACCCTAATTGTTTTGCAATAATAAATATTTTGTAAGAAGTTCAAGAAGAATCGTACCTAAAAATAGGTAGCATTAAACGAAATTTGCAAAACAAAAAAAGAAAAGAAGACATGGATAATATTACATATGTATTAAATAAATTTGATGAATACAAAGTCGATAAATATGTAGCAAAATATTTATCCCTAATTGGTCCGAAATTTGCCGGTAAAAACATTATATAATTGTAATATATACAAACAGTTAATAATAAATAATAAATAATAATGGTATAGTATAATAAATAATAACATAATTTAAAAACTATGACAAGTAATTAAACATTATACTAAAATATTTTTGGGAGACTAAATAGAGCCAACCTCCTCGTGGTGTCTCCTGGATAACGCTAATAGGCTCTAAAAATTAAAAATTAATGATTAATTATTTAAGTGTTATTTTTCTAGGTGTTTCTAAATGTTATATTAATACTTATTTCCTATGTACCCAAACGTGTTATCTAGAGTTATGGTGTACCCAAACGGTGTATTCATTTGTACCCAAGCGTGTTGCGTTTAGGGTCTACTGTACCCAAACGTGTTAAGGCCCGGGATCTGTAGGTAACTATTTAAATACAATGAAATAACAGGTGTGATCCCGCACACACACAGCACCGCGCCACCGCCGCTAACCTACTCACAGAAGTCACCTATCGTCATAGACAAGACTGAAGGTTAACCCAATTATACAGTGCAGCAACGCATGTCAACGGACGAACAGTCAAAGTTCAACTCGTATCATCTTAGGCTAAGGGAGAATAATGAGAAATATGTCATCGACAATGCCACAGAACGATATTTACCACAAAAAGACCGCATCCAGTGCCAACGCAGAAAGTGTTCGATAATATTGTTCCTTTGAAGATGAACATGAAAAACAAATAAAGACTGATGTCAGCAACTGTTCACACGCGACCGTCTTGCTCACGCACCAAAAACAAAAAGAATCGATATTACGTAAAACGGCTGCCTCATGTCCGTTGAATTATTAATTACAAAGTTAGGAACGGATGGAACAGATTATGACTAGATACGACTACTACTTTGATAAGTTGAGACGACAAATGTTGTGATATAGCAATCTACTAATACGCCGCTATCTCACACCTACCAGGGACCTTGTGTCGCAAATAGACCTATATACATATCTTCTTTAAATTTATTGCTGCAGGCTGGGGAATCAAATACGAATTTGATTAAAACATAACAACATCGATTAAATCATCTTGAACAGTAGGTCCGACCAATAAAGTATCGTTGAGTGATTTTCCCATG